TGGATGTAGAACCACTGGAACCCTCACACATTCCTTTTGGGAGTATAAAATAGTTCAATCACTTTGGAAAACAATTTGGTAGTTTCTTTTAAAGTTAAACATACCTATTACCAGAAATTCCACTCCTAGATATTTACCCAAGAGAACTGAAAACATATGTTTACACAAAGACTTGTATTATTAATAAATATCTTTAGTAGTTTTATGCATAAATACTCATCAATAGGTGAATGGAGAAATTGTGGCATATCAATACAATGGAATACTATTCAACAATAACAAGGAACAAACTACTGATACATGCAACAACCTTCTGCTGAATAAAAGAGGCCAGAAACTAAAGAGTACATGTTATATGATTTGATTTATATAAAATTCTATTATAGGCAAAACTAATCTATAGTGACAGAGAGCTGATCAGTAGCCTGAGGATGGGGGTCAGGAAATTGATAATAAAAGGACAGAATGGAACTTCTTGCAGTTGAATGATTGTTACATGGATGTCTACATTTGTTAAAACTCATGGAATTGTCCATTGAAGACAGCCTCATTATATGGCATGTAAATTATACACCAATAAAGTTGAATATAAATATGAAAAAATGAACAGGATGGTATTGAAGGGAGCTCAAGAAATTTCACCCCAGAATATGACTCCTTGGTATAAAGAACATTTTGAATTAAAGGACCTTAGAGAGCAACAGGCTTTGGAGGGGGCTTTCCCTGTATTTGCATAAACCAGACAGACCCATCAAAAGAACTATTAACTTCCCTTCCCTTCCCAGTTACCTCAATATATTGCAGCAAAGAAGTTCAAGAATAGCAACCAGGCCTGGCCCAAATCATTTGAAACATGATACCTGTCTCTCAGGTTAATTTAGTCAATCTATTTCCCCATCCATTTATCCTCCCTAGCAACCATTTATTGCCCCTAAACAGAATGATATATTCTTCATTTCCCCCTCCCCTCTAAAAGGAGGGTATAAAAATAGTATCATAGTATCATACAGAATAGTTAGGTTTTGGGGTTTTTTTTGGTTTTTTTTTAGAGACAGAGTCTTATTCTGAGTCTTACTCTGTAGCCCCAGCTGGAGTGCACCAGCTGGAGTGCAGTGGCATGATCATAGCTCAGCCTCGAACTCCTGGGCTCAAGCAATTCTCTTGCCTGAGCCTCCTGGGTAACTGGGCTTACAGGCACAGGCCACCACACCTGGCTCATACAGAATAGTTTCACTGCCCTAAAAACTTCTGTGCTCTGCCTATTCATCCTTCCCTACCCCCTAGTCCCGGGCAACCACATATCTTTGTACTGCCTCTATAGTTTTGCCTTTTCCAATATATCGTTGGAATCACACAATATGTAGCCTTTTCAGATTGGTTTCTTTCACTTAATATTATAATGTGCATTTGAGTTCCTCCATATGTTTTTATGGCTTGACAGCTCAGTTCTTTTTAGCACTGAATAATAAAAATACCATTGTCTAGATGCAACACAGTTTATTTATCCATTCACTTACTGAAGGACATCTTGGCTACTTTTAAGTTTTGACAATTATGACTAAAGCAACTATAAACATCTGGGTGCAGAATTTTTTTTTATTTTTTTTGAGACAGAGTCTCATTTTGTTGCCCAGGCTAGAGTGAGTGCCGTGGGGTCAGCCTAGCTCACAGCAACCTCAA